TCACGGGTCACATCATATTCAACAGTGAAAAGCTGAAAGCTTTACCTCTAAAATCAGGAACAGGACAAGGATGCCCAACCTTGTCACTTCTATTTTCATAGTATTGGAAGTCCTACCCACAGAAATAAGATGAGAAAAAGTAATAAAAGGCATCCACATTGGAAGGGAAGAAGTAAAACTGTCACTACTTGCAGATGACATATTAGTATATATAGAAAACCCTAAAATTTCCACTAAAAAACCATTAGAACTAATAAAACAATTTAATAAAGTTGCAGGATACAAGATTTATATACAGAAATCTGTTGCTATTCTATACACTAATAATGAACTATGGGAAAGAGAAAGCAAGAAAACAATCCCATTTACAATTGCATCAAGGAGGTTAAAGACCTATACTTTGAAAAATATAAGACATTGATGAAGGGAATTTGAAGCTGACCCAAAGACTTGAAAGGTATCCCATGTTTATGAACTGTAAGAATTAACATTTTAAAAATGTCCATACTACCCAAAGCAATGTACAGATTTAATGCAATCCCTATCAAAATACAAGGACATTTTTCACAGAACTAGAATAAATAATCCAAAAATTTATATGGAACCACAAAAGACCCTGAATAGCCAAAGCAAGATTGAGAAAAAAAGAATAAAGCTGGAGGTATTACACTCCCTGACAACAGACTATATTAAAAAGCTACAGTCATCAAAACAGTATGGTACTGGCACCAAAAAGACACATATATCAGTGGAACAGAATAGAGAGCCTAGAAATAAACCCATGAACCTATGGTCAATTAATCTACAATAAAGAGGCAAGAATATACAATGGAGAAAAGACAGTCCTTCAATAAGTGGTTCTGGGAAAACTGGACAGTTACACGTAAAAGAATGAAATTAGAACATTTTGTCAGACCATATACAAAGAAAACACTCAAAATGGATGAAAGACCTAAATGTAAGACTGGAAACCATAAAACTCCTAGAAGAAAACATCTGCAGAACACATTATTTGACATAAGTCATAGCAATATATTTTGGATCATTCTCTTCAAGCAAAGGAAACAAAAGCAAAGGTAAACAAATGGGACTTAATTAAACTTCTGCACAGCAAAGGAAACCATTGACAAATAGAAAGACAACTTAGTTAATGAGAAAAATTACTTACAAATGATATGACTGATAAGGGATTAATATCCAAAATATATAAACAGTCCACACAAGATCAAAAAAACAAACAACCTGATTAAAAAATGGGCAGAAGACCTGAACAGATATTTTCCCCAAAAAGACAGAGATGGTCAAAAGGCACAAGAAAAGATGGTCAACATCTCTATTTGTTAGAGAAATGCAAATCAAAACCACAATAAGGTAGCACTTCACACTTGTCAGAATGGTTATCATCGTCAAAAGCCCACAAATAACAAATGCTGGCAAGAATATGGAGAAAAGGGAACCCTAGTACACTTTTGGTGGGAATGTAAACTGGTGCAGCCACTATGCAAAATAGTATGGAAGTTTTTAAAAAAATTTAACAATAGAACTACCATATGATTTAGGAATTCCACTCCTGGATATATATCTGAAGAAAATAAAAACACTAATTCAGAAAGATACATGCACCCCAATGTTCACAGCCACATTATTTACAATAGTTAAAACATGGAAGTAAAGTGTCCATTGACAGATGAATGGATAAAGAAGTTGTGATATATATATATATATACACACACACACACACACACACACACACACACACGTGTATATATATAGCATGAAATATTACTCAGCCATAAAGAAATAAAATTTTGCCATTTGTAACAACATGGATGGACCTGGAGAGTATTATGCTTAGTGAAATAAGTCAGGCAGAGAAAGACAAATACTGTTTGTTATCACTTATACGTGGAATTTAAAGAATAAATAAGTAATTAACATAAGAAAACAGAAACAGTCTCACAGATATAGAGCACTAACTAGTGGTTACCAGCAGGAAGAGGCAACGGGGGAGGGACAAGACAGGAGTAGGGGATTAAGAGGTACAATATGCTATGTATAGAATAAATAAGATTCAATGACATGTTGTACAGTACAGGGAATATTGCCAATACTTTATAACAACTCTAAATGGAAGATAATCTATGAAAATATTGATTCACTATGTTGTACACCTGAAAATCATCTATACTTTAATAGAAAAAAAATTAGAGACATTTTTCTGATCAAGATTACTTAGCATTTTACTTTTTAAAAAATGCTTTGTTTGAGTCTCTGAAATTGTTTTCTATTGTTATTTCATTTTATTAAGGAGGATATTGAAACACAGAGTTATTGAAGTAAATGTACAAGTTCCTGACAAAGTTTGGACTAGCTCTTGTTTTTAGATGAGTCAAGAAACATTAAAAGTGATTTTGCTTAGAGCTACAGGAATTAAAATATAGACAGTTAAAAAATGTTCAGAATAGGAAACAGTTTTTCTTGGGGAGAAATTTTATAGGACAATTAAGAACACAATATATTCTTACAGTAGAGTAGACTTTGTTACAATTTATGATATTTATATTTGAGCCGCATTTTAAATAGACAAAAATCTATTAATAGTCTCATTATTACTATGCAGTCATGATAAAAAAAACTTTTAGCATTCTGAAGAAATTAAAATAGAAATGGTAATGGTAAACACTCAAGTTTTCTAAGCTCTGGGGATCTAATGTACAGCATGGTGACTATATTTAACAGTACTGTATTGTACACTTAGAACTTGTTAAGAGAGTAGACCTTAAATGTTCCCACCCCTAAGAAGAAATGGTAATTATGTGACGTGATGGAGGTGTTAGCTAGCCCTACTGTGGTAATCATTTCACAATATATTTGTGTATCAAATTATAATGTTGTATTCCTTAAACTTACAACATGTTACATATTAATCATATCTCAATAAAGCTGGAAAAAATAAAAAAAATAATTTCTTTGAAATCATAACAAAAGTTAGATGCTTGGTTCCCTTAGTGAGAGCTTATTTAAGGTTTATTTATTCAACAAGTTTATCCATAGCACCTGGGTGTACTGATTTTCTTCTTAGAAACCTGCTAAGCCTCTGAAATGGGTCAATATGCTTTAGGCACTCAATTGCCTTCTCCAGCTGTGGTCTTTTAAGCACAAGTCTTTTAGCAACTAGAGGGTCTTTCTGAGCCTTACCCACTGACAGGAAGATGTTAGAATTGACTGTTCTGTGGGATTCATGAAGAGTTATTTACAAAGCTTCAGCTGTTCATGTCAAACAACTCAAACTCTCAACATAGGGGTAGAGTGGGAGGGAGGGAGAATGGGAGTTTGAGCTGAAGTGACCAGGTCTTACTTAAGAAAGTAGGAGAGTTTTTTCTTGGATTCCATAAATGCACACTAAAAGTTTCATATACCTCGTATAATCACAACCTTAATGATTTCTTGGACTCCCTGAGGAATAAACCTGAGTGATGTACAGGTTAAAATTAACATTTTCTAATAGAATAATAACACAATTCATCAATCAAATGTTTTTTTTTCTTCTTTTATAAAAGTGTAACAGGAGGAGAGTACTCTTTCATTTTTCCTTACAGTATAGTCTGGCTTCATGAGAACTTTAAAAGAAATACTACATGCTTTTTTTTTTTTTAATAATCTTATTTATTCTCTCCTTGTTTATTTCTTTTTTTTTAAATTTTATTTATTTATGGCTGTGTTGGGTCTTCGTTTCTGTGCGAGGGCTTTCTCTAGTTGCGGCAAGTGGGGGCCGCTCTTCATTGCGGTGCGCAGGCCTCTCACTATCGCAGTCTGTCTTGCTGCGGAGCACAGGCTCCAGACGCGCAGGCTCAGTAACTGTGGCTCACGGGCCCAGTTGCTCCGTGGCATGTGGGATCTTCCCGGACCAGGGCTCAAACCCGTGTCCCCTCCATTGGCAGGCAGATTCTCAACCACTGCGCCACCAGGGAAGCCCACTACATGCTTTTTTACTTTTAACATTTACAAATGCTAATTATAGTTGAAGAAGGAAACTTATGGCATCTAGTTCAGCGTCCCTGGATATTAAGGAGAAATCTCTGAAACATATCTTGGCTTTGATATGTATAGTTGAGTACTTAACTTGTTCTCATAAATAAACCTCCAAATTGGTAAGTGAATCAAATCATATTGTTATGCAAATAAACTGTATGTAGCAAACTAACCAATAAAACATGCTACATTATTGTCTAGCTAACCTAACATATTGTAGATAAATAGGAGCAAACATTTATAAAACCACTAGATGGCATTCATTCACTGCAATTTTGGCCAAATACAGCCTTTAAAGCTTTATCATGATATGCAGGATTAGGGGCAAGGCAAGTGTTATCCATTATTTGATGATATTTTTCTTTCATATAACACACTGACAAAGCTCAATTTTATCTTTTCCTGTATGCTTCAAATCAAATCAACAGATACTTACTGAAAGCTTTATTAAATGATTCTTTCTTGTGAGGAGATTTGAAAGCCATCTTCACTGTGGTGGTAATGTTTTTACTTACAACATCTAGAAGAAAATATGCTATATGCACTGTGCCACTTAATTTTCTTTTATTTCATTGCTTTATTAATTCATGTTGATATTTCTCACAGAGCTATTTCTCTAAAGGTTATAAAAAGTACAGAGTCACATTTTCTAATATTTTAGATGGAATTAATCTTCAATCTTAATGCTTACGAAAATAGGAGGTCAAGAGCTCTTGAGTCACAAAAAGTCCTTTCTATTGTATGTCTTTAAAATGTGTGAGGAAAAGTACTTCTAACTTCATTGAGAACCACAATGACCTTTGGTGATAAAAGATTATGATTTAGTCTTGGAGATAAATAAATCATGGAATGAAAACTCCCAAACTCCACACTTCAGGCTAAACTGTTGGAAGAAGATATTGATGGGCCAAAAAAAGTCAAATATTTTTGTAGAAGGTCTAGGTTAATAATAACATAAAGTCCAGTACTTACCTGTTCTAATATGTTTTGAAGCCTCTCTATCTCACAGTCTATTACAAATTTCTTTTCTTGTCTTCTATCAAGCTCTTCTAGAAGTTGCCTATAGCTGACATCATTAAAATTTTCCACACATATAGCGCTGACATGCCAACCATTTTGTCCTGCTTTTTCCATGATAGCTTGAAGTATCGAGTATCCTAGTGGGGAAAAAAATCCAGAGGGGTTACTAAAAACATGCCCTTAAATAACATGCAGGCACTGAGTCTACATCAATATTTTTATATTCCAAAACATACAATGAATTATTAGAAATTTAAAAACATGAGTGGTTATTTCTGAATCATTTAATTTTACTTTCTTTACTTAGGGCAAAAACATTCCTTAAAAATATTGCTTGAATGAAGTAGCAACATCATACCTTGAGTAAGCTCTCAAAATCCCTCTACCAAAGACTATTACATTGCTTTGGATATATTTTTGATGAGATAAACCAAAAACAAAATCTAGTACCACCCGTAGTCAAGAACAATTTCATAAACTTTTTGCTAATTTTACTCACTAGACAGAATTAATTTTGAACAGCTGTATTGATTTTCCCCTTGAGCAAAGTAGTAACAACATTTTTGGGTTCAACTGTGTCATAAAATAAACATTGCAACACTATTTATTGAGGACCCATTATTGTAAATGGAGAAGGCATTATTTAACTCTTCCTGTCTTGGTAGGGGAGTGATGTGGATTGGGGGTGAACTGAATGAAAACTAGGTGATGCAATGGGCACTCAAACTCATAATCTAGTAGAGGAAACAGACATTCAAATAAACAAATGAAACTTAGTTTAAAACTGTGTAATGATAGCCGTACTCAAGGGAAAGTGTTGGCCCAAGGGAAAGTTTGGTAAAATCTGCCTTAATGGGACCAGGAAAACTGCGATGAGGAGAAACAACTTGAACTGGGTCTTGAAGGTTTAAAAGGTGCCTTTAAGATTGCTGAAAAAGGAGCATTTATTAGCGGGAAACAGACTTCCAGAGGGAATGGAATGGTCTTTACACTGTTCTTCATTCAGATCTCTCTGCATGTGGAAGGGAAGTCATGGGTCTTAATGTCTGGGTTAAAGATGAAGGGGCAAACTCACGAACCCAGCACTTAGAATATTTCTTCATGGCAACATTGTCTTGAAATCTTGAATTTTTGAGCTCTCAGTTTTGAGTTGGAATGTGAAAAAAAGGAAAAAAGATTCTTTGAATCTATGTATAACATTTAAACGAAGGTTGTTTTGGATCAGAGCCTGTTATTTTTTCCCCTTGTGGCTTAGCATAAAAAAATATGCTAGTCCTCTTTAAGAAGGTCTAACACTTATTTGAGCTCATTCTATGGCAGCAGTTGCCTATAGTTTCTCCCTCCCTTGGTCCCTGGACTTAGAGTGGAGAGCTGGGTGGATTAAACCTGAAGACTTAAAATGAATGCAAAGCATTTGCTAGATAAGAGCACCCTTTACTCAGTTTTCTGTTTGGTATGTGAGTCTCTCAGGTTCAAGGATTTTTATTTTTAGGTATGTTTTCTACAAGTCAGAGTTTCAAACATTACGGATGTTCATTTAATATCAACAGATGGAACTGATGATGAGGTCATATTTGAAATATAAATTACCTGATATCCTGCCAAATGAAATACTGTGGCAGTCAGGATTAATTTTTATCAAAATGAAAACAATTCCCTAAAGAGGAAGAAAGAGGGCATGTTAATTACTATATAATTATTCTAGTATATCTATTGCTTTGTTTAGTCTTTCCTTTTGTAATGTATGCCTGTAATTATCTCTTCAAATCTTACCTAGATCCCCCCTATCCCTGCCCCAAATTCAGTACTCTTTCCCTTGTTTCCTATTATATGCATACGTAACATGATGGTCTGCATCCTATCTTAATGAAATCAAGCAGGACTCTGAGGGTCCTCCTGGGTTCAAAAGTCCCTCAGTGTCCCCCGTTTCTTGTTTTTAGAGAAAGGCTTTAGTCTTCTAGGCCTTCCTTGAGTTCCAAAGAGCATCAGTTACTAATTAGGGAAGTGAGGGAACACACAAACAAAGGTGAAGCAAACTCAAATGGTCTTGGAGAAAACACAAAGCCCAAAAGGTCTTAACAGAAAAAAACATCAGGGGCCAACTGGGAAATGAAATTCTTGACCATCACATAATGCTCTAAGTAAATAATAAAATGTCTCAACTATTGTTTTTGCTCTCTCCTAGAAAGAAGTTAAAGGATCATAAGACCATGATTTACTAATTTGCTTTGTAGGAACAATCAATCAAAATCACCAATGACACATCAAATCATAAGATGGTGGCAGGAAGTCTGCAACTGAGATCTATGGGAAGCTGAAATTACAAGGCCCCCTCCCCTTTTACCCTTTTTGCTTTTAAAACCCTTGCACCCTGGCCAACCAGCAAGATGGATCTGAGACAAACCTACATCTCCCATCTTCTCTGGAGAGCAGCACCCTCTAGATCAGTAAACCATTCTCTGATCCAAACTCCGACGTTTTTGTTTGTTTGGCCTCACTATGCATCTAGCACACAAACTTGGGTTAAACAACATTAATGTACACTGTACACGTTCATGCCTCATTTATCCTGTTACTGGGATTTGCTCTCTGATAGTGAATTAATGTTCTTTCATTCATTTTTGACACCTATGAACATGCTCTTTTTAAAAATACCAATTGACATCTTATTTTCCATTTTCTCCTTTTATTTACTGTAGTACCAAAATAATTAAAAAAAACTTTTTGTTTGATTTTCTTGCATGTTGTAAAAATAATAACTATGTCCACACACATCATCCCTGTGACCAATTCACAGCTTGGCACAGTTCTTTAGATACTGCCTTTGTTTGTTATCATCACGTCATGTGGATATGTCAGTGCTAGGCTGTTATTTTCCTACCTACAGGAATTTCACAGAATATAGAGCCACACATCTTCTGATGAAATTTATATATGTTCCCAGTTGCATAACAGATATTGAAAGATTCACACTAATAAGACAAAATTATAATTCAAATTCAACATTTTGTTATCTGAGTTTTCAGATTTAGAAGTGACACTAGAATTGAAATAAAACAAAACCCTAAGACACAATCTTTGTTAAAGGGCAAAGAAAGTTGGCTGCCTAAAAAGAACCATTAATCATAGTCAGAAATAAATGGCATCTTTTTAATGCAAAGGACACACAATTATAGTTTCAGAGCCCAGGTGAAAATTTGAGTTCTTTTACAAGCTGTGTTTGATTTTAATATCCTATCTTATTCATTGCAACTCAGATGTACCTGTCTTATTTATTTGCCAAGATAGTTGAGAATACATTGTAGTTCAGAGAAAATACTGCTGTTGAATCTATGATTGTGTAACTTACCTGTTATATAAACTAGAAAATCACAAGTCAAGTCATATTAATTCTACAACTGCCTACGATTTGTATCTCCTACTTCTTAGAAAATCTGTAGTGCAATATTGTTGGTCAGAAAATGAATACTACAGTTTTAGGTGAATATCACAAGAGTAATGAGGAGTTCACTACTGTAAAGAATTTTTAAGTCTTGCTTTTATTTAAAAGCTGTCTAACATTTTAATCTAATATAATTTATTGAAAACTAAGACATCCGAGATTCTTTAAGATATGCCAGGATAAACAAAGTTATGATTCTTGTCTTGACCAGGATCTAGCAAAACTGATATTTAAGTAACTATTATACAAATTACACTGTATTGTGTAAGTAACTTCAAAAGACCCAAAATAATTTTATTAGAATAGTAGTGAAAATGTATGATGGAGAAGATCACATTGTTGGATTAAAATAAATGATTAAAGGCTTTTTCATGGTTATTAAAGAACACTATCAGTTACACATACAAATATTTTAAAATGTTATATTATATAATTATATTACTAATTATGTTAAATAGAATCATAGTGATTTAAGCAGTCTTGAGCTACTGTATCCTTACACATCAACACTTTTTATATCACCCATGAATAATGACCTATTTTGGGTGAGTAGTACCATCCAGATATTCAGCTGCTAGCAACACAAACTGGGCTTGTTTATCTGATGTTCTCTTTTGAAAGAGTTATTTGATTCAACTATCTGCATATGGAGGGGCAGGAGGAGAGTCAGGAAATATCTATGTCAGAGTGGATATAATTTCAAAAAGGAGAGAGTTATCTGTATGCTATTAAAAACGCTTCTCTTTGATAAGGATAGAAAAGTGCTTTTTAATTAGAAGGTCACTGGTGCACACAACAGGAGTAGCATCAATGGAATGCTGAATATAGGAGTCATATTTCAGAGAAGTAAGAAATTGAGGAGAAAATGAGAAGTGAAAATGTAGAAATTAGGGAGGAATATCATCAGAATAATTAATTTAATGAGATGAAGGATATGCCTCTATAAGTATGAGATAGAGAAACATTGAGGCCATGGGAACTCATTTGGGAAGGAGAGGACTGGGTCTGTCCCATGTGGCATCGTTGAGCTTAAAAAGAAGTGACAAAGGGATATAGCAGCAGTTTGTACTTACTCAAATTAAAGCCTCTTTCATTAATTTTATAGATTGCTATGCAGGTACCCACTACTACCCAATTTCTCTGATCTGGCATAATCACTGGCATCCAAAGCTAGTATATTCCAAGAGAAAGGTGTGTATATCTGAAAGTCTACTTTATACTGTATTTTAATCTCAGTCATGAGAGGAATACGATTCTGTAAACCTCACGGCATTTAACGTCATCATAATGGCACTACAGAGCCGATTTAGTAACCATTTGGTTTGGACTCTTTCCAAAGCAGCCTAGGTACTGAAATAACATGTTCAAAGGCTACAGTCTGAACTCTAAGATCTCAGAACACAGAAGGAGTAACCAACATTGTAGCTTGGTTAAAATTATCGGCAGCTGTGACTATAGCATTTATTTATGCCATAGTTCAAGAAGGGCATAGTGAAAATAAGCAAAGATCTGCCAACTTACACAGTTTGAAGCCATACATATAAACCTGAGGTAAGATGGAATGTCTTGAGTTTTCCCTTTTCTACAAAAAATCAAGAGTAAAAATAGAAAATCCTTCTTCAAAGATGGTTATTTTGGGTCTTAGATTTTCCCTAAGTCCTCTTGTATTTTCTGACAATAACATTTATTGTCTCT